TGACCACTAAAAAAACATTGTACTATAGTTATGTAATTCAGCACAGGGTATTCTGGGGGCCAGGCATCAGCCCAAGGAGCTCTGATCAATACCTGGGTTTCCACCTCAAATGTTAGTGGTTAGGTGGCTGGTAGTATTGTTTTACACAACCAGTGCTGCCTCTATGACTGAAGATTTCATTCTGGAAAATCAGATCAATGAAGGGGTCTCATTGCATAGAAAGCTGTCATGCTTGCAAATATAAAAAAATTAAATATTATGACCAGTTCTAGAGGCTATGCTGCATATTTGTTTGAGTCAATGAGGGGGAAATTCTGACATTTAATACATAATTAGTACTATTTCATGACCACTTAGGAATAGAAAATCCTCTATTTTAGTAGGCATCAGAAAAGTTATGTAAGTAATTTATCTCCACTCTAAGGAAAATCTAAAGGCTCTTGCCTGAATTGAAGTGTCTTACGTATACATTGTCTTGAAATGATGATCAATAGTTCCTGAATGAAGCTGAAAATCAACAAACACCAACAACTAATCTTAGTTCATCAGCCCCAGAGAGAGATGAACTGAGATATTTTATTAGTCTTGCTGCATTAGAACTCCTTCACTAATCAGCAGGTATAAGTGATATCTGATATTATTGTTTTGTCTCTGACTTAAATGTCTGTGAAGTTTAAGAAACAATACCATTGTCTTCATCAACTGCTGTAGTAATTTATATGCTCTTACCCTCTGGCTTCGCTTGGTAACTCTGCCTACCCATACCAGATATTGCACTGAGTCACACAGATTTCTAAAACGTCACATGTCCATTATCCTGGTACCACAATCATCTGAACCCAGAGACCTACTCTGCTATTCTTGCGATCCTCTTATAGAACATAAAAATGCAAGACCCATCTTAGGAATGATTTAAGTATCCCTCAGCAATGATTTTTCCCTGCTTGTTTAAAACATGGACTAGCCTATCCCAAGCTTATATGTGGGCTAACACAACCTTTTTTTGCTTCAGCATGATTCAGATCCTACCTTATATTTGCTTCTGTTTGACAAGAAACTAGTGCTATGGTATGTGTCTAGATGTACCCCCAAAGCCGCATGCAGTCATAGAGCTGGGTTCTTCAGAGACAGGTGAATCTAGAGTTTGTGATTGGCTCATTGTTTAGTGCTGGGATTGTGGGTGTGAATGCTACACCTCTCCTAGGGGTGTAGTCTGCCTACAATATAAGATATGGAAGGGGCTCTCTCTCCTTTTTCCTTTTAGTTTTGCTATCCTCTTCTGCCATGAACTGTGCCTCTCTACCATGTGCCTCTTTGCTTGGAACCAGCGGATATAAACTCAAACCTTTACAAACTGAGCTAACTAAACCTTTACCCCTTTAACTTTTGAGTGTCAGGTAGTTGTCTTAGTGATGAGAGAAATGTAACTGAGACAATCTAGGTAGTGTTACCTTTACTTTTATATTATTTTATTTAAGGTGTGCATATAGCCATTCTCAACTGGTGTAATCTAATTTAGTAGAATAATATATTAATACAGAATTAGAAATATAAACATTTTAACACTGTATGAAGTACCAAACAGTAAGTACTTTTAAAAGAAAAACTAATGCCTTTCATTCTTAGGGATGTTAAGAGGACAAAATATTTTCTTAATGATAAGTTCAGAAAAAGTCATAAGCATGTGATCTGGTTTTTAGATCATGAAATTACATATGGACCCAAAGGAATGGAGGCATTCCTGGTTAACTCAGGCTATTTCCTCAGATTGAATTCCTCCCTTGTTATTCTGACTTTCCTCATACTTTTGTCCTTAAAAGTTCCCAGACCAGCCCCCCACACCTACAAAAGCTCACACACACTAAACTATCTCTAAAGATGTGCTTTTCTGTGATGCATCTTATCATAACGAAACTAGCTTAAAGTATTTGCAGTTGCCATTTCCTTCCCTTGACAGCTATGAATCACTGTCACAGAGAATAATACAGATAGTTTATGGTTGCCTTCTATTTCCAGTTTCTCATCTTTACTTCATATTCAAAGCAAAATATTGCTCCTCTCTAAACTGTGGTTTATTTATACAAGCAAAATTCTATATATCAAAGCTATGTTTCATTGATTTTTGTTTCAAAATCAGTTTAGTCTTCATAGCAATACAATTAATAATCCCTAAGTCTTGGAAACGGCCTAAATGATGAATGATAAAAAATGTGGTATTTATAAAAAATGGAGTTCTACTTTGCCATAAAGAATGATAAACTTGAGTCATTTGTAGGATAAATGATGCACCTTGATACCACGATGTTAAGTGAAGTAAGTCGTACATACCACTTAAATATCCTGTTTTCTCTTACATGTGAAATACAAATTATAAATAAAGACCAAAATAGAGAACAGGAAGGAGCTTTCGAGGAACTGCTGCAAACAGCTCAGGATCTGTGGCTCTTCTGGGTGCCACACAAAGCCTGGGGACTGGGTTTTCCTTGTTCTTCCATTTTCCTGTATTAGAAAGGGTCTCTGCCTTCCCAGGAGATTAAAAACGTGTCACCTAATATTTACGGACCTGGCTAGAGTTTCTTGCAGATGGGTTTCTGTGATGTGCAAAGGTACCTGATTTGGACAGAAATATCACCCTATCTCACTGCACAGACAGACAGCGTTTCCACTGCCAAACCCTCACACATCGTACTCTGTAGAGAAAACACTAATTTCTCTGTTCACATTGCCTGGGTCACTGCTAACACAGTGGATTGAATTATTCTTATAGATAGGAAAATATATATGTATTGTTCCTTATTTAATTTGTACAATTTCCTCATACTGTACAATATGAAATTTGTAAAATATGAAATACTGTACAACATGAAATTTGAACAACTTCCTCATACTCTTTAATGCTTTCTCCCTTGCCTGTTTCTCCAACTTGAAAAATAACTATAAAGTAATACAGTGCACGCTATTTCTGGATGCTATAAAGGAATGCCAAGCATAAAAGTTGCTTGACATTTACCTTTATCTGTGAAATTATATCTTCCAAAATGATAAAGAAAAGTAATAGATTTATAGCTATATTTGAATTAAACTTTAAATTGAAAAAAAGAGAAACAGAAAGGCATAGTCCTTTCCACAGAGAGCCCTTTTGTAATACTGACTCTTGTTCACCACGGTAAAATTGAGAAGATTAAGCTTTTAATTTGCGTTTTTCAAATCATGATAAATTTATGATGAGCTTTTTCACAGGGGCAAATGATATTCCTTTTTACTCCCAGTTTGTGCCCACACCTATACCAATGAGCAGGGATCTGTTCTGTGCTCATCCATTTTAAAGCTATCAAAGTAAGCAATCTTCCTTTATCAAGTTGTAGAAATTTCAACGTCTTATTTAATTGTGTAGATTTTATAGGAAAGAACTTTGAGTGTTGTCCATTGGTACTTTGCACATATTGTTATGAACAAAGAATTTCTCTTCTTTTTTGTTATTGTCATATAGCATAGGATGTAATGACATACAGCATAGGTAAATGTTCAAATGTGAAACAATATTGTGTATCTAATAAGGTTTATAATAAAATCATACTGAAATTAAATGAAAATTCCAAGTATTTGCTATTGAGAATGAAAAAATAAATAAGAGAAAGGAAAAAGAATCATGAAAAGAGAAAAATACTGACATTTGTTAGAAAGCAAATATAAGCAAGATTAGGGATGATGTATCATAAGCTTCTCAGAAAAGAGACAGCTCGATTCCAGAAGGAGTGAATGTTAATAATTGCCTGGTAGTTATTTTGCTGACTGAAAGTACAGTGTATGCCAGTGCACCAGGTGCAGATATGATGATAAAAAGACTCTTGCAAATGTGTGATAGAAAACAAGCATGGATATTGAAAAACTCAGGAGAAAAACATAAATGGGAGAAAACTATGTAATATTGGAGGTTTTAAGTTAAAATTCCCCAAAAGAAATACAACTGGAAGTGAACAAGCATGCTAAAAGACACTAAAATTTAAAGAACTGTCCCACACAAATTTTGTTACTCTGTCTTTTCCTGTGTTGAGTTTCAGTAGATTTTCCAATCTTGACAGGTTGCTTGAAGTGACAGCATTGAGAAATGTACGCAGTGCTTGTTGATCTTGAAATTTCACTTCATAGGGAAATTTTTCTCTATGAGTAGAGATTTGTATGGTCTGAGAAAAGATGAAACAAAATTTGGAGCAGAAAGCAATGTAGTAGGGGCTTGTTGTAGATTTTATACTTTAATCCAACATAGATGAACATTTAATACTTTCAAAAAGTTTCCAGACATCAAAAACCAATGACCTTGTATTAAATAGAATCTCTTCCTACTGTGGAACAATTTGTACATCAAAAATGGAAGAAAGAAAAATATTAAATACGTGGAAATTGTAAAGAAACAGCTTGTAAGGAAACTGTTCTACAAGGTGTGATCCCTGGAGAATTACAAAATATCTTCAGCAAATGAATATAAAAACAGGATATACTACCAGTGCTGAGATGCTGGTTAACACTATCAGCTTATAGATATTAATATGTTTGAAGCAAATAAGAAATTACTAATATCAGTGATCTCTTCACATATGTAAAAAGAAAATAACAGTGCTAATACATATTAAAGTTATCTATCTATCTACTGTCTTTCTACTTTCTTTATATAGATATGGTTCAATTATTAGAGACCAAAGTGTTTAAGCATAATACTGAGAGAAAAATATTGACATAAAATATAATCTAATACTGCACTGAGTGTTTTAACAGGGCCTAGTTGATAAATGAAGTTAGAAATTATTTGATGTTTTCTTTTAAAACTTTTCTACAATACACATACTTAATTACATATAATGTATAATATGATATATTTTTCAAATATCTGTATTTTAACCTATTTTTTTCTTAAAATTTATTATTACAACCATATACTGTTAAATTTATTATTATATTATATTTGTTAGATGGTTATTATATATTATTTATTATATTATTATTAAATTTATTATTATAATTCAATATTTGTTTTTACTTTTGCAAAATTGTTAATGGTTTCCTTTTCTAAATTTCTATGAATACTTAGAAATTATTTTTAGTTGTCCTTAGAAGGTGCTATTTCCATATTAGTTTTCTCCAGTTTATCATTAGGTGGAAAAGAGTTGTAAACATTCTATGTCTGTGGAAAATTTATTACTTTGCTATCTATTGAAGTCTTATATCTAAATATTACCTCCATACAAGCCTCATGTGCTAATAAGAGGAGATTTTTGGAGTTGGCTGAGCTAGGGTGGATGAATGTGGATTGAGGTTGTGATACTTGGCTGAATGGTTAGTTTTCTAATTGGTTTCATATAGCTCTTGGTTGGATTAATGGAAGCCCCACCCTGGCTGTGAATGGCAGCAGTCAATAGATTACAGTCTTCATGGAATATAAAGGGACAGAGGAAGTCTAGCTGCTGCTGCTGCTGTGGCTTGGTGTCTCCTGCCTGCCCTGACATAGACTGCTTCTCCTCTGCTATTCCCCTCTTACATGGCTCCCTGCCTGGAAATCAGGTAAGTATGGACTGAAACCTCTACAAATTGTGAACTAAATAAACCTCCCTTCTTTTCACTTGTGGTTTTTACATACTTTGTCCCAACAATAAGAAAAATAGCCAAGATGCATATTTATGTTGTTCCCAAATTATAGAATGTATATATTTTTGTCAGATGCTTTACTTTAGAAATTAAGAAAGTCTTAGAGACACTACAACACCATGTTCTTATTGGGAAAACCTTCTAAATTCTGAGTCATTAATATTATATAATGCATAACTGCAAAATTCATCCTGGAATAATCATAGTAAAATTCTAAAACATGAATGGACTAATTAAACAAATTATTGTTTTCTGTCTTTGCTCAGCTTGATTCCCTCTGCGTGGAGAGAACTACCTACATTATATTGGGGAAACTATTATTTTTCCCTTTACATCAATAGCACATTTATTGTCCTTGAACCGTGACCACACTACAGGCTCATTCTGAGTTTCAAGAATTGTATGGAACCGAATTTTCTATTCTGTTTAAACTGAATCTTCTTAGTACTTATCATTCTCAAACTCAGTGGTAGTCAGTGAATCTCTGTGGTACAAATCTTGAATCTTAGATCTCTATTGTAGTGGAGTTTCTTTTCTTCTGGAAAGAGCCACTTACTTCTGAGGTCACCTAAAGAATTTTTAAAATTACTTTTGTTGTTGTTCTGACAGATCTTCACTTGTGATCTAATATTTATACTTACATGGAATCTGTTATTGGTAATGAGAATGGTACAAATTCATGGCAAATATTAACTTTGATGTACACACGTTCCTAGGAGCTGATGCTACTCCAGATGGTGCAAGGCAGGCTGGCACTGACCTGCTTGTGAGAGGCTTCCGAGGGAGTGGAATATTTACTAAGAAAGGCAATGTGTGTCCTAAACAGGGACTGCCTTCTTAGAGTGTTTTGAGAGAGAAGAAATGTGATGGTAGCAATTTCTGCATTACACCGTGTGCGATGTGGCTGTTTCAGCTTGTTGAGGTTCACGGAGGGAAAGAGGGGAAGACCACTTAGGGCAGTCATATCTGCAAAAGCAGAGCTTGTGTTCAAAAAACATTGCACTTTCTTATTTAAAAAGCTGCTACACTGTGCTTATTGGGTCATTCCTAAAAGATTCTGACAATGCAAGCCACCCTTCATGATCATAGATTGAAATCTAAAGAAAAATTGACATACTCCAAGGACAGATAAAAACTCCAGGCATTTAAAATCCTGTTCCAGTCTCCCTCATTCTTTAAGCACACCCTGGGTTTCACTTTTCTTTCCCATTGTATAAAATTTAAACCCAGTCCTTTAGCTGCTCACCCAGTGTCCAAGCTAAGTTCGTATGTGTGACTCCCAAGCAATAGGAATTTCTCATACAGATTAATAACAAGAAAAAGCAGTTTAAAGGTGGGTTTTCCATCTTTTCAATAAACTAAAAGGTAACTGTGAAGTGGCAGAGATAATTCCTTACCCTCTTGGTAAGAAACAGGGCAAGATCCATATCTATGTGCAGTCACTGAAAACAACAGCACAGCAGAAGGGAGATGAGCTCAAACATCGTGAGGATGAACTTCAGGAGCACAGGAAACGCCATTGTGAGTCATGAGGGAGAGAAAAATTAGAGATCTGTGAAGAGATGCTTTCAGCCATTGGCACACTGTTAGACATGCTTTACTCGTGGACCAACACTGTGGTGGCAAATATCCCACTCTTTCCCATACACCTCACCTCTCTATGACTGTACTCTGCAGTGTGCAGTTCCACCCTCTTAAAATATCAGACCAGCGCAATGACCTCTTGTTATCCAGCTTGTTTTTTTATGAACAAGATCACAAATGGATGCTTAGTTCCAAAACCATTTTTACTGAGATTTCTGAATCTGAGACTATGTTCGAATCCATCTATGTCCCATAGTGATATGAATCCTCATCACAGGGCATGAGTTAAAACTTCCTGACAGGGAAAGGCAGTTGGATTTTTCAAATCATTAGTCTGAATGGAAGAGAAACTTTTTACTTTATGGTTTATTAGAGTAAAAATTATTAAATGTATTCCTGAGTGCCATGTGTTCTACCCCCAACTAAAAGTTTTATTTAGTCTCATAAGATGTGCTCAAAAAGTAAAACCTCTTTGAATTAATAAATTTATTCACTTAGAATCAAGTTTTTGGCCATTTTTATGTGCAAGACATAAAGTCACTTTGTATATGAATAAAGGCCAAGAAATTGCATACCTGGAAATCTGGAAATACTTACTGATATGATATCTGCAGGGAATATACCAATCTCCATGGCACCTTCAAATAAATTTATGCCATGAATTATTGTGAATACCAGTGCAGCCAGAAAGCTCACAAACTTTACTAATACAAAGGCCACAGTCTGGAAGTGGAAAAGAAAACCAAATGTTTATTCATGCATTCTGGTGAATGTTACATTGATGCACAAACATGGATGCACACACAACCTTTTAAAATAAGAAAATTGAAATTTGTTAAAATGCAAAAGTTTTTATACCATGAGTGCATATTTTCAGTTGTGGCTAGAAATAGATAAAGGACTATGGGTGCTGAAAAGAAATCATTTTGGGATCTCAAAACAGAGTGAAATCTGAGAAGTGTTGTGTTGTTCATTTAAGGTGTCAATGGTGGTGCAAATCTTAGCTGTTTTAGGTTTTTAAACTACAGGGAAACTCACCATGTAGTAATTCACTATGATTTCAGTCACCACGGTCAGAATTCCTGATGTGATATACTGTAGAAAATAAAGGTTAATTAGTTTGCCTGGAAATACATTCTTTGTACTCACTTTTTCTAAAACCAAGTGTTTCCCAATGTTCCTCCCCACACTCTGTGCTCTTAACATTCCTTAGGATTACATTCATGTTTACAGTAGTAGAGGAATGAATATTATTTGTATTTACTTACAATGAGTGGTACCAAAAGATATACATAGGGCAACACATTGTGGAATTGTATTATGGAAAGGTCAGAATGAAACAAATCAGAAATCACTATTGCCCACAGGACAGTCAGCCCCATGCCACACATCATTTGGAGCACCTGGAGAAGGAGAAAGTGTCTCTTAGGTAAGAGGAGTAAGTGTAAATCTTAGATAAAAGTACTTCCCTACATGGTGATTTTGAGAGTCCTTATAAGGGAAATTGTCTTCAGATTAATGCCTAAATTAATCTCCTGCATTTCTAAAATGGCATTGGCAATTTTCATAAATCATATATGTGTTCTTTATACTTAAAGAGTTGGTAGAGCATCATGGTTGTGTTTCCACAACCATGCCAAACTCTTAGGTCATCTAGAAACCTGATCTAGAAAAAATTTAGGGGAATACAAATCTATTTCATAATAATCATTCTTAAAAATGCTCACCCCTACAACACACTGTGGTGTATTCATAGTATTCTGCACACGACGTAGTTCAGATGAATGATGGGTCTGCCTCTTGAATGTCCACAGTGATGTCACTGATAGTATTGCTTTGCACAGCCTGTGATGTTTTGATGACTACAGATGGGTTATCCTGGAAAATCAGATCAAAGGATGAATCTCTGATTCCATACAATATTTCCACGAATGTCAATATCAAAGTAGATGTAGGTAGTGTGGCAACTTCTAGAAATTAGGCTTCATATTGATTTCAATAATGACTGAGGAAATTCCAAGATTTAGTATTTATCATTTTTTCTTGCCCATTTTCAACAGCATGCCCTCTATTATAGTGTCACAAAGACTATGCAAGAAATATTTTCTTACCCCAATACAAATCCAGTGATTCTAGTGTGAATTCAAGAGTCCCGTATACACAGAGTCCAAAATGTTGATAGTATTAGCAGGATGGAGCCTGAAAATAAAAGAACAGCAGCCACTAATCCTAGTATTCATGTTCCAGAGAGATACAAGGTGAAAAAATTCATTAGTTTTGAGACATTAGAACTGTTTGATTCATCCTCATATTTAATTAAGCTCTCTTATTGTTATTTCTATTTTGTTCTGGGGCTCAGGTGTCTTGGGAAGTTGAAGATACGATGATGTCACTCTTAGTCAGCCACCCTGTGACCTCAGGCTCCCACATTCTGGTTTCTCCTGCTCACTCTGACTCCACAGCACATGGACTGTGAACAGCCACATAAACTCCTGAGCAGCCATCTGTGCATGGGTGGGTGCCCTTCTTACCTGAGCCCACACCCTCCTCTTCCACCATCCTGATTCCAGAGCAGGAATGCAATGCACAATGTTCATGGGCTGGAGATGGTTTCAGTCTGCATTGGTAATGAGTCTTCTACATTTAGAGACATAGACCTCCATGGAATTAGAATATTTTTTGTTTGTGTTTGGTACTGGGGATCAAATGCATGACCTCACACTTTCCAGGTAGGTGCTTGTGCCGCTGAGCTAAATCCCCAGCCCACCTCCATGGAATTAATTGTGTGCTAGTGTAACCTAATATAACCTCATCGTGATGGAGACAGTTTCCATGTTACAGTCATTAATTTTTTGTACCTATATTTCAGGAAACTAGACATTTTCCTCATACTGCATTTGTGTTTCCATTCAAAGTACATTATACTGATTTTCCAGAAGTTTTCCACATGGTTATAATGCAATTTGGAAGGAAAAATATATTGACATAGAATTTCCATACAATTTTACATTGCTAACATTGCTATATATTTTAGAGAAATTCATATTTCTTATTTTGAGCTAAATGATCATAATAGAATATATTTTCATTTTTGTCAATCAGAATACTAAGTCGAGGAAGGAGAGTCACAAAGACACAGAATTTAAATTATGGGATTAATTTCATTTTCTTTGAATGGCTACTTCACATAGAATCACCTTCGTTGTTCTTCTCCCCTGTTGTCATCACTGACAGTCACCCCCTCCGTCCTCCCATTCCCTAATTTTCTATTTTTCTCCGCTGAAGAGCATAGGTGCTATTAGTTTTTAAATTGTAGTTTGGTTGTACATATTTCTATAACATTATAATTACCTTAAAACAAATATTTATACTCACAGTTCCCTTCCTTTTGACAGTTAATATTTTAAAAGAACATAAACTACAATTTTCTATGTTTTCACCTCATGTTTCCCAATTTCTCATCTTTAATTCCTAGCCAAAGCAAAAATATCACCATATTTCAGACTAACTGTGACTCGTTCTTTATGAAGATAAAATTCCATATTTCAAATTTTGTTTAATTGATTTTTGATTTCAAAGCACCCTTATCCTAACCTCTAATCTCACTGCCTAGAACTTCCTGTTAAGTGTACTAAAATTGGGAGTATTATCATTCCAGAGCATAGCTATTATCATCCTTGATCAAAATTCCTGAAGTGAGAGAAAAATAGAAAGCAAACAGGGGTATAGAGGAGCAAGGCTGCTTGGTAATAGAGCTTAGGATCACTGCAAAGATACTCTGAGCTTCTATACATTCAGGACAGAATATGACAGTGAGGCAGAACTTTTATAAAATAACTTTTAGGCATGCTGATGTCATCCAACTAGGAGAGTTTTTGTTACATTATATAGTATATATAATAAAAATAACATTAATACCTGGTAATTATGTTCAGTGTAGAGTGTCAGTACATATACATATCATATTTTAACCATGTTTATTTCTCTCTCCCTTCCTTCTCTCCAATTTCCAGATCAACTTTTGGTTCCAGCAAAGTTTACCTCCTAGTTTCCTACCACCTAAATTTTATGAAGTGCATTTTATATAGCTTTGTCAGTTTGAATTGTTGTAAAATTGTATCTGAAAGTCAAAATCAGTTAAATTAAAAATAAAGCAATAACCAGAGACAATGATGGTCTTCTCAAATACTAATTCCTAATTTTATTACAACACTAATCTCCTCACAGGATTTCCTACCATGAACAACTCCAGAAAATGAATAAGCCTAAAAGTCTGTCATGAAAGACCATGGACTCTTGTAGTATAAAAAGTGTCATGGACATAAACAATAGGAGAGATACTTACCTCTGTCACCATGTGTCACTCTGACTTAACAAAGGAGGCCAGGGAACTTCACTGCACTCGCATACGCTTAAGATTCTGTCTGAAGGAGCTACCAAAAGACAGCATCTTACCTAGTCCTCATCCAGACCCCAAATAAACTATGAGTAGTGGATCTTCAGTGCAATTTAATTTTACTTTGTGAGAAGAGTCTCCAGCTGTTTAAGGAGATAAGAACACTCTACCTAAGATGGCAACTTCTTGGCCCGGATTTCTCGCACATGTGTTCCTGTGATAGGGTAACTTCCATCCCCTGTCAGAGCACTTTTTATCTCTACTTCTCAGACAGCCACATCTTTTAAAATTGCCACTTACATATCTGTTGTTTTCTTTAAGGAGAAATTTTATTTCTTGTTTTCATAGTGCCATAGACCAGTCTAGAAGGCAGTGCCTCACATTTGTAAAGTTATTTTTTAATGTTAAATTCTAATCTCATTTAGAAAATTTATATTGCATTATTCTGATAAATAGAAAGGATGTCTGTATTCTTCCTTCTTTCAATCTAATTGTACATTTTTTTTCACTATCATAATTAGTCTTCAACGCTTTTCTCCTCTCTCTTGCCAATTTCTAACACTTGAAAAATAATTACATAGAAAAGTACACAGTATTTCTAATTCATCCAGGAAATATTTCACCCAGGAAGTGATCTGCTATTTGCTCTTTCAACTAAAAGTCAAACACCTAAAATCATAAATGAGACTTGGGGCTCTTCAGTTGTTAAATTTTAGCTTGGAAAGAAATAGAAACACAGAATATTTACCACTCTGAAGTTTTCTATAGTACTTACTCAGGTTTGGCATGGATGTCACGGATTTCGATTATCACTGTATGAATCATAATTTTATATAGAGCTTTTCATAGAGGAAAATATAGTATCCTTCACTCAAGGTTTCTCTCTGTATCAGTGCTCCAATGACTGACATTTTCTATCTATTTCTTGTCTATTTCAAATCTACCAAAGGGGATAACTTGCCTTTGTCAATTGGATACTTTGTACTGCCTTACTATTCAACATATAGGTTTCCAGTGAAAGGATCTGGGATTTTGTCAGTTAGTTTTTTTTTTAATGTAACATCATAAAGGTAATATTTTTCTTATTTCTTGCATCCATGCACAGCCTAGGTTGATTTTCAAAGAGCATATCCCCCAATAACAATTTACAAGATATGCATATTTATTGTAATGCTCTGTGTATCCTGAGGGAAATTTATTGCTTCAAGTTGACTCAGGTAAATGATTTTCCTTTATGACGGTCCATCTTTCTGGTTGGCATATGTTGCTCATGAGGTATGTAACTCCTTATAATCCTACTCATAAAGTCACAGTTTTGAGTGCCAAAGTCTTGTGAACTTTTCTCATTTTTAGGAGAAACCAAAGTCCTTTTTTCCTCTGCTCCTGTAAAACTTGCTAATCAACTTTTCATTCATGGAAATTTTGAAATTAATGAATGCTACATTAGCTTCAAGTAAACCATGATTTAGGGAGAATAACTTGGATTATTCTTGTAAATATTGGTTTATATTCTCTGCTTCTGATGAAGTCAGGCTGAGATGATAGCAACTGAAGTAAAGAAATAACTTAAGGCTTGTACTGTTTAATTGATCTTGCAGGTCCAAACTTAGTAGTCTGAACATCTATTTGGAAGATAACAATATGCATTTTAGCACCTTTGGGGGATTTCCTTCTGTCTTGTTTTTGAAATCCAATGTTTGGATGGGTTCTACTATTTTGATTTATTCCTATGTCTTTTAAACTAAGCTACTGTTTTGAAAATAACAACCCGCAGTATAACAACCATTGTGAAATTGCTATCATCTCATTTTGAAAAATCTATATAACTACTGCTGTTCTTTGTTGTTGTTGTTATTGTTTTGATTTGTTTGCTTCTTGCTTTTTTATTACTTGTTTTTTTTTCCTTTAAAAAGATCCCAAAAGTCTCATATGTTTAGAAGGTGACTGGGTCTGGAGTGCTGTGCTCATCAGTGGACTCATCTGTGCATGGGTTCATAATTGAATGTGGTATTAGTAGTTGTGTCCTGATTGGAGATGGGTCTCTGGGATGCGAGCCAATGAGGTGTCCCTCTGTTCATGCTCCTGCTGTCTTTGCATCTGTCTGCCCTGAGTTGAGCCACGCTATTCCACTGAACCTTTTGTACCATGCTGTTTCTGCCTTGGACTCAGCAGGTCCATGGTAGAGAACCATGAGCCAAAAGAAACTTCTCCTTTAAGTCATATCTGTCATGTATTTTGTCCCAGCAGTGAGAAAGTAGATTATACATATGTCTATTAGAAATGTATCAAAACAAATAATCTGCCACTGACCAAGTTGTAGAATTTTCAGAATATTCGTAATCTGCTGATAGATATATACTACAAAAAATTTCAATATTTCAGTTGTTTCTCCACATTCCCTCTCATAACCACATTGTATTTCCTCTTTATTGTATTGACACAATGTACACTTGGGTTTTCACGGAGTAAAATAATTTTATTGTATTTGGCAAGAATATCTTTGTTTAATGAAATAAAACCATACTCAATTTAAATAAATTTATAATATAAATCATTAGAGAATTTTTCAGGACAACAAATGGCCATGAACATTTAGGACCATAGACACTAAAAATTGAAAAGCTGACTCACAAACAGTCTTATATTGCTTTTCTTTTTAAATTTTATTTAAAGAAAGCAAGAAGAGAAAAAATGAAAAAAAAGAATACAGATTAAAAAAATTAACATCATAACATTGCTAGTTGATACATTACATATTGTCATCTTAAAAATGTTGTTAAAGTTTTAAAATCAAAGCATAAAATATGGCTAGACACTCAAACATTGACAGTGTAGTCTCTTCTGTTCAGTGATCTCATAGAAGTTTAGTAATATGGTCATCTATCTTACACACTATACATATAGTTATATCCTTTAGAGTACTTTCCTTTCCTTTCACTTTTACATAATCTATTATTATATTTGGATCACATTCTTCTGTCAGTTTTTTTTACACTAGAGAGACAATTTGATATTTACTAATGTTAGTCTTGTTTATTTCACTAATGAGGATATTCTCAAGTTGTTTCCATTCTATGTTGCTTTTCTTAAACATGCTCTATGTTAATTTGTTACTCTTGTCCTATTAAATAAAGGCAGTATTGGTTATCATAACTTACCCATTCTACGTAGAATCCCATTTTAGAGTAGATATTTTCATGAATAATGCAATATGTGAGAAAATTCATCAAATTAGTGAGTGAGTAACTGGAATGTGAGGAATCATTGCAGATTTGAGAATTGTGGAGAAGCTGTCTATAAATTAAAAATGAATAGATGCACATAGCATCTATTGTACTCCTAAGTAATAATTTACAAACTATGGGGAAAAGAAAATCATGAAGTATGTGGAAATCAATGAGAAATTGTGGAAGAAAAGATATGAAAAATAGTAAGGTTCATAAGGAAATTAAGAAACACCTAGATAAAATAAAAAAGGAAAGCAGCATAAATAACATTTTGTGAATGTGCTATCAATTTATATCTACCAGTGCTTGCCTCTAAAACAAGAAATTACTGAAAACAATTGCCTTCAATTCTAAGGATCTAGAAAAAATAATGAATAAAGCCAATGTAATTTAAAAAGCCGATGATGGTACAGACATAAATAAATAAAACACTAAGTTAACAGAGAGATCTGACTATGTAAATGTAAGATTAGAAAAATAACCATGAAAGGTTCATAACAGAGGCTACCTCACAAAATAAGTTTTACCTATTTTGTGACCATTTTTCTAGGTTCATTTGAGGACTACTCTAATTTTCTGGCAATACACATATATAATTCTTTGCACCACATTACATTTGTGTTATAATGTATTATTTTAAATAAATAACACTTGTTGTTTTTCACTTATTTGAATTTTATCTATATTTAGAAATTTTTATTTTTCCTTCTTAGACTATGCTCTTTCCATGGAAATTTTCACCAGTGGATCAAAATTCTTTCACACCAAATTGAATGTATCTGGGATAATTTCACTATGGTACTACCTGTATACATTGATCCCTAGAACAGTATATATACATATCTGGGTATTATATCTCCCTAAATTAAGAAAGTTGTTGATGTGTCATATGACTACTATTTTTGTAGGAGAATACCATATAACTGTAGCTAAATGACATAGTTATCCACATTGGTAAAATATTGATCAGTGTTATGATAAGAAAATCTAGAACTTCAGTGCTTTAACATAATAAAAATTTAGCCTTGCATTTTATTATTCATGTTCACATGGATGTTGTTATCTGAGCGTGATTTTAGTACAAATTTTTATTTTATAAAATTTTATTGTTATTTGGCTAAATCAACAGCATATTTCTTCCCTTGAATCTCAGTCTTATTCTAGACTGATTCTAATCATCAAAGCCTACATTGCCTACACAAATAACTTTTTAAATGTTTTTAGTGAAAAATAACAAAAATGGTGCTACAGAACTTTCAAAACAAAGTAGGAGATTAATAATGGTAAATGTATAGCATATTATTATCTTCAAAATAGTTGTTCAAATTATAAGACATAGACATAAAAGAATGATCAAACAATGGAAGTAACATCCATTGCTAATGAAAAACTAGCAGAGATTTATAGCTTAATTGTCTCCATATATATGGAGACAATATATATTATATTAATATATAATTAATAACTATATATGTAATATGGCATATGCACTCTGAAACTTCTGTGTCACTTCCAACAGGACAATGCCAGCATTTAAAGAAACAAAGTGACAGACCCAAAACAGTCCACTCTGAATCCTCCTCACACCTATATTAACTCTTGTCCCCTAGGCATTAACTACAGGACACATAATCTTGTGTACCAAAAAGCACACAGTTCCAGAGTCAGAAGACTTCTTACTAGTTATGTAAATGTTATTTTCTCCTCTGTAAGGTAGGCATGTGAACTCTTGTCCTGACTTCTTCACAAGACCAACAGGGAGAAATAACCTGGTTTTCAAATGAAAACATCACTCAAAGGAATCATCATTAATTTCACCTTGACATCTACAGCTGACAGTTGTTCTTTCCTTTTGAGAAATTTCTTCTCCTTCAATTGATCAATATATGTTGTATTTTTGGGA